ATAAATAATTAACATAAAAAGTACCTCCCCTTACTAGGTATGAGACCCAACCAGCCCAGGGACCTCAGTTCTCTTTCTTGTTCCAACAGGAACGGACGGCATCTGGAATATGGATGATGAGGCACATGGGTTGCTGCCAGGGGGATCTGGTCTGATAGCCTCGTGGGTGGAGAGCTGAATGACCAGAAAACATCCTGCAGATTATGGAGCAGGTATGTAAGCCTGCTTTTATGCCAAGTGCAGTCACCGGCAAAGCAGGGAGGCGGTCTCTAGTGGCAGCAAATCACTGCCTGTTGGAGACGCATGCGCACGGCGGTGGAACGTACACCCGGGTTGTTTTGCGTTCCACCAGAGTTCCGACCGTGCTATTGCGCATGCGCGGTCTGAACACCCCGAAATGGCGCCAAATTTAAAGCGGATCTGCCTATTTATGCTGTGCAGATCTTCCTGTCAGCATGGATGCTTGGCAGTGAAGGTCTCCCGTGTCACCAGCCCCCCCACACGGGTCAGAGGTTTTAGAGGTATGATTCTTTAGACTCTCATCTTTAAAACTCTCCATATTTTTTATTTTTTTTTAATTATTGTTTCTACAAAATGATTTATTGCTTATGTATTACAGATGTCTAGTCCTGCCTCTACTGATATTATGGATAAAGACAAAGTGCCTACACCTGCTTCTAAAAAAGCCAGTTCCAAAGCTAAACATCTCTGTTGTAGTGAATGCTCTACTCCTTTACCTGATGGTTTTAAAAGGAAAGTCTGTAATGTTTGCTCTTCCTTGACGTTAGAAAAATCCAAGCAACAAGAGATGAAATCCTTTTTGTCTTGGTTTCAGGATAATCTGGCCCAGACTTTTTAGTCTTTTAAAGATCTTGCTCACACTTCTCCTGTAAAAGCTACTAAACAGAAGTCTAAAAGGAAGAGAACTCCATCTAGTTCAGAACTATCCTCGGGTGAATGTTCTTTTTCTTATTCAGAATCCTCTAGCGACTCTTCTATTTCTGAGGTTGGTTTTCCTCATGATGAGTTGAGAAAATTTATTAAAGAGGTTAATGTTATCCTTTCTGATGAAACGGTAGATAAATCCAAGGGTAAAACACTTCCAGTCCAACAAAAATGCTGGATTTAATATTCAGAGAATGGAAGAACCCTGAGAAAATGGCTTTTGTCTCCAGACATTTTAAAAGTATTGTTAAAATAGAGGAGGTAGATAAATGGGAAGAATTGCTGGTGGTTGATGTACAAGTGGCTCAATTGTCTAAAAAAATACCATACCTATTGGTGAAGTTGCTGGTCTGAAAGACCCTATGGATAAGAGGGCTGAAACTTCCAGCAGAAGGGCTTATCAGGCTGCAGGTTTTCAGGCTAAAGCAGCATTAGCCGGGGCTTCAGTGGTGAGAGCTCAGAATCTTTGGCTTAACACTTTGGAAGATGGTCTGGGTGATAACCAAGATAAAGGTCTTTCCCTCCTGTTCCAGAATTTAAGGTTGTCTAATGAGTACCTTATGGATATTGTCATGGAGGTGATAAAGCTTTCGGCTCGTGTCATGGGTTTGACATCTGTGGCCCGAAGGGCACTGTGACTTAAAGCCTGGACAGCAGACACTGCATCAAAATCTGCATTATGTGAACTGCCTTTGGAGAAGAAAAAGTTGTTTGGTTCTCCTTTAGAAGAGTTGATCTGACAAATGTCGGAAACCAAGAAGGCCCTGCCTCAAGACAGGAAATATGCCTGGAAACCCAGGTATAGATATTTCCAGTTCTAAAACCGTAGGGGTTTTCAAGAAAAACAGTTTTTTTCGTCAACAAAGAAAAAATCCAAGGTTTGACACACAAGAAGACAATAAGTCTGACAGAAACAAACGTTTTTGACGCCATCATAGTGGGCGGAAGGTTGCAAGGTTTTGTTCACAGATGGAGGGAGACCACTACAAATCCATGGATTCTGAATTTGGTACAAAATGGATACCGAATAAAATTCTTAGCTGTTCCAAGACTGAGTTTCCTTGTCTCCTCCTACCGGTTGAAGTTAAAAAACCAAGCCCTTTTTTCTACCATGATCTCCCTATTAAGAAAAGGTGTGGTAGAAAGGATTCCAACTTCCCAAGTATATCAAGGGATATACTCCAGGTTGTTTCTAGTCCCAAAACCAGACATGTCTTTTCGTCCAATCTTGGATCTAAAAAACCTGAACAAACTTATTCCTTACCAACATTTCAGAATGGAGACTATAGCGTCTGTCACCCATATCCTTCAAAAAGGAGATTTCATGGCAACTTTGGATCAAAAAGATGCCTACCTGCATATTCCTATGGATGTGAAATCAAGAAAAAACCTGAGGTTTGTTATAAGGAAAGGGAAAAAGGTCCATCCTTTCCAATTCAAAGCCCTTCCATTCGGGCTAGCTTCAGCACCCAGGATTTTTACAAAGGTCCTCACACCGGTCACAGCTTTTTTTTAAGGATGCAAGGAATCACAGTAGTACATTACTTGGACAACTGGTTAATAAAGGCAGATTCAAGAGGCGCTCTAGAGTCAGATGTGGCCTATACGATAGAAATCCTGGAAGAACGCGGTTGGATTATCAACCTAGAAAAACCACACCTTACTCCTACGAGGTCTATCCTGTTTCTAGGGTTTTTGATCAAGTCAGAGACTGTCGGTTCATCTGACAAGAGAAAAGAGAAAAAAAGATGAAGATTTTTAATAAAAAACCTTCTTCGGATGTCAGACTGTTTGGTGAGGAAAGCCATGCAGGTTTTAGGTCATCTGACTGCTACAATTCCGGCAGTAAAATGGGCCAGAGCGGAATCAAGGCCCTTACAGTGGGAAATTCTTGTCCAATGGTCAAAGAAGGAAGAAGACTTGGATGCATTAATGAGTATATCAGATCATACAAAAGAAAAGATCTCTTGGTGGCTAGAGGAAATATTCATTACAGAAGGCCTGTCTTTTCGTCAAAAATCTTGGATCGTGATTTCTACAGACGCTTCAAATACAGGTTGGGGAGCTAATCTCCTGTATCATTTAAGACAAGGTGTTTGGTCAAAAAAGGAAACAAAGGAATCTTCAAATTTCAGGGAGTTGTTGACAGTTCTCTATGCTCTTCAGCAGTTCAAGGATTTCATTATAGGAAAAGCTGTAAAGATCCAGTCAATCAGACTACAGTCTCCTACCTAAACAAACAAGGCGGTACAAGAGTAAAAAAATTGTATTTCCTTTGCTCACGGATTATGTCCTGGGCTCAAAGTCATCTAGACGATATTTCCGCCATTCACATTCGAGGAGTAGACAACGTGGTAGCAGACGATTAAAGCAAATAAAAATGGTCCCAGAACGAGTGGTCTCTCAATACAGAAATTTTCGCTCATCTGGTGAAGAGATTCGGTCTGCCAGTCATAGACCTTATGGCAAGAAGATCAAATGCAAAAGTAAGATCGTTTGCCTCCCTCTTCAAGGTAGACAAGCCGCTGGTAGTCAATCCTGTGGGAGTTTCTCCTTGCTTACATTTTTCCCCCAATGTGCCTTGTCCCAAGAATTCTGCAAAAGGTAACATCAGATCAAGCTCATATTCTGGCCATAATACCGTACTGGCCAAACCGTAGCTGGTTCTCGGTTTTAAAGAAGGTGTCTTTAAAGTACTGGATTCTCCCGGTAACACCGGATCTTCTGGAAAACAAGGGAATTCCAGTAGAAGTATTGACCATGTTCAGGTTGATGGCTTGGCTGCTGCATGGCTAATTCTGCATAGTTGGGGCATTAAAGAAGAGAGGTTTCAGTTACTGTTAAATTCTACCAGAAGCTCTACTTCTTCTATCTACTTAAAAATTTGGACGAGATTTCTTCACTGGTGCATATCTCATCGTTGCATAGGATCCTCTCCTTCTACTGATACTATCCTTCATTTTTTGCAAGATGGTCTTGCTCAAGGTTTTAGTCTGTCTACCCTCAAAGTCCAAGTTTCCGCTCTGCCATTTTTTGGTAAAAAATTGGGCTTCTGATCCTCTCATTAGGAGATTTTTTAAATCTGTTAGACTCGTAAAGCCTCCTAAGAAAATCTGTTTTCCCTCTTGGGATTTGTCTTTAGTTTTGAAATCTCTGTGTACTGAGCCTTTCGAACCTTTGGAAGAAGCTTCATTGAAGAATCTGTCCCCGAAAACCGTGTTTTTGGTGCCCATTACTTCGGCTAAGAGGATAGGGGAACTCCAGGCCCTTTCTTCCTCTCCTGCCTTTACAAAACTTCTTCCGGATAAAGTGGTTATGTACCCTAAGCCTTCCTTTCTTCCGAAAGTCATCTCCTCCAAGGTTATAAACCAACCTATTTTTCTTCCTTCCTTTAATGGTCTATCTATGCCAGATTGGAAATTTGATTGGAGCCAATTAGATGTGGGTAGGTCTCTGAAAATCTACTTGGACCGCTCCTCTACGTATAGGATGATTGATCATCTTTTCGTGAATTTCTTTGGAAAATTTAAAGGCCAATTTAGCTAGATGGCTGGTGGATACTATTAAATTGGCTTATTCTACCTCGAATCTACCTCTGCCTGCCTCCTTGAAAGCACATTTTACTAGAGCCATGGCTGCCTCTTGGTTTGAAAAAGTGAGTGCCTGTCCGGAAGATATTTGCACCTTAGGCTACCTGGTCTTCTTTCAACACTTGTGTCAAGCATTACAGGCTAGACGTATTCTCTGCCTCTGATGCTGATTTTGGGCACAAGGTGTTACAAGCTGTTATTGCCTAACTTCCTGCCCTTAGTATGGAATCTTGATATATCCCTATTGTACTACCACCATATGTCAGGAAAAAATGTAATTTTACTCCCCGTAAATTCCTTTTTCCTTAATATGGTGGCAGTACATCACTCCCTCCCTTTATGTTTATATATTATATTTGGGTGTTCTATGGATTCACTGAGGTCCCAGGGCTGGTTGGGTCTCTTATACCTGGTAAGGGGAGGTACTTTTTATGTTAATTATTTATTTCAGATGCTTGTCCCGAGGGAAGAGTACATCCCTATTGTACTGCCACCATATTAAAGAAAAAGGAATTTACGGTAAGTAAAATTTGTTTTTGGAAACATTTGATGGGGTATTGAAATATATCTTACATGCTTGAGCGGGTTCAGCTGCCTAGAGATGTCATACGACCATTGCAAAATTACTCCCCTCCACCCCCAAACCATTCATTTGAAGATCCCTTTTTTTTTTTTTAGAATGGCCCATTTGTTCCTGTGTAGTGATTTTTAACTGTGTTCTTATTTATTCTTAATTAGTGGACTGGTGAAACTGTGGACTGCACTAACACTGTTGGGGCAGTATCAGAGCCGAGAGTGTGCAGTTCGAGTGATACAGGTAATGGTTCTCCTAGAAGCCCACTATAATGTTGTGTCTGGCCTGTATTATTCTTTGTGAAGGCATTGGTTTTCCCAAATGGTTGGCTTTAAACAAATGCAAATCAAGGATCCTACCCAGTCCAAAGAACTTATATAGATTTAATGGAACACTCTGGGCACCTTAACAACTTAATTGAAATAGTTGTTATGGTGCCAGGAGATCGCTTGCATTACATGAACTGTGTAACCCCAACATTTTCTCCCCAGCACCGGTCTTTGCACTCCCTGTCCACATCCAATCTGTAAAGTGCAGCATCAGGAAGCACAGAATGTTGCCATGCAGAGGGCACTACTGATTGGCTTAGAGCAGCCAGCTGATGATCTGATCTAAGCCAATCAGTAGTTACCTATTCATGAAGGGGGGGAAGCAAATGTTGGCAATTTTTGCTTAGATTAATTCAGCTTTTAATTTACTAGAATGTATTTTGAGTATAGTGAATAAACCCCAAAAGTATGTATTTATCCTTAAAGAAATCCCTAAACACTATATTTAGAGAAGCTCTCCCCTCATCCCTTATTTCAGGGATAGGCAACCTTCGGCATGCCAGAGGTTTTGGACTACATCTACCGTAATGCTCTTACACCCATAATGCTGGCAAAGCATCATGGGAGGTGTAGTCCAAAACATCTGGAGCGCCGAAGGTTGCCTATGCCTACCTTATTTCTTTACTCTGCTGTCTCCCACGTACTGTGCTCCTTCCTTCCAAACACCCCCACATCTCACAGTCAAAATGATCACTTAATTCCCTTTGTGCAATTCTCCCTCATCCTTTTAGATTGTAAGTTTGTTTGGGCTGGGCCATCTCCACTTACTGTTCCAGTATGTCAATCATGTTTTGTTAGAATGCATTGTGAGGTTTTTTTTTTTTTTTCTTTTTCTTATCATTTAGACCTCTCCTTTCTTGTTGGCATTAGCTGGTAACAGCAGAGAACTGAATCTTGGATAAATTCTTATTAATCTCCAGTAACCACGCTAACAATCAGGATGTTCAAATCGATGCTGACTCCAAACATGGCTTCCCAATGGCCAACACTCAAAGCTCTCATGAAGCCACCAATATCTAATTGTTTTCAGAGCCTGGTTCCACACCGTCTTTTAAACCTTCAAGTCGGGGACTCTGCAGAGCTGTCCAAAATCTTTACTCAAAATGATATTGAAATATTCTCTCAGTTGACTGGTGACACAAACCCACTGCACCTGGATGAGTCTTTTGCTAAAAACACAAGATTCGGGAGAACTGTCGTCCATGGAGTTTTGCTCAATGGTCTAATATCCGCAGTCTTGGGAACTAAAATGCCTGGTCACGGTTGTGTACTCATATCACAAGAAATCTGCTTCCCTGCACCACTGTATGCTGGGGAAGAAGTTGTTGCTATAGCACAAGTTAAAACATTAAAGCGATCTCTGGCTTATATTACTGTATCTTGTGTTGTCCCTCAATATCAGCGCACAGTCATGGAAGGGACTGTTAAAGTATTGGTTCCTGATCACCAATGATTCTAATTCTCTTATTGGATATATGCTTTACTAATGTAATATTTTCCAAATTTAGCTGGAAAGTCCAATTAAGAGAGAAAAAAAAAAAAACCTTATCTAAAGGAATAATGTAGATGTTTCTCCTTGGCTAGTGCAGCTACTCGGGAGGGTGAACCATCTATGTATTGCTTTAGATACGTATTTTTATTTTTTATTAGTATCTATGTGAAAGGATTAAGCTCTGGTGTTGTCCCACTGGTACAGGTGAACATAAGGGTGCAATTTAGGATTGCCTTGATATTTAAATCTGTGTTTATTGTAAAGTCCTATTAGTCTGTGACATCAAGTCAATGTTTGCAGGCTATAGAAAATGTATATTTTTCAATAATAAACACTTGTGAATATATCGTAGAAAATGTTCGAGTTTTTATTTTTTCAAGATGCTATTAAAAAAACAACTTTACCATGCTACTATCTCTTTAAAAGCTATAGATTGTTTTGGTTTTATATTTTGACCAAAACAACTTCCTGTAGAATGTTCTTCCCCCCCACCCTTAGAATGTGCACTGTTTACATTTTGCCTAAGCCATGCTGTATTGACAGTCCCTAAAGTTGAAGACCCTTGAAAATTTGAGGTCTTCAGATTTGGCGTCATCATGCACAGTATGATGACTTAGTCTGTCCTGTATGGGATGTTGCATGCTTACCAAATTAGAAATGTTATACTATGTTTTTTTTTGTTTTTGTTTTTTATGTTCAATACTAAGTATGGGCTTGAAAAATCTTTTTTTCTAAAAGCACAAATGAAATTAAGCACAAATGAAATTTTTGTAGGATTCCTTGCCTCCATCTGTTATTTGATTATTTCCAGATTATCTGTAGAAAATGATACTAATTCTGAGAGAGCTATATATTATCTTATTTTTATTTAATTTTTTACATTTTTGTCAAGATAAAAATAATATAAATTGCGTCTTACGTGAAAAAATATTCATAACACAGTAGCAATAGTGGCAGTATCAAATGCTTCTTCAAGAATGTGAAATGGTGAATTTATCCATTATTGTTGATTATTATATTATTATTGTTGGGGGGGGTGGTTTTAAATGGTTACAATTAACATTTTTTTATTTTCTGTATCAGGAGCAATTACCTCGATGTTATGCAGTTCTGAAGTTCTGTTCCTCCAATAGCTGTTGGCCGCGGTTTTAAAATTTCACTCTCCGATAAGAGAGTGCGATTATCCAGTACTCCATATAGACAAATATAAAATAGTTTCATCTTTTGTACATTCAAATGATTTCTGTTTGGTTTTATAAAAGTTTGTTCTGAAAGCCAATATGATACATTTTAAACTTAACCCCTTAAGGACGGAGCCAAATGTACACGTTGTGAACAAAACCTGGCATTTGCGCTACATGTCTGTCCAACCGTAATTCACCTCTTTCATATTAAATGCACCCACCCTTATTATATATCATTTTATTCAGGGGAAACAGGGCTTTCATTTAATATCAAATATTTAGCTATTTAACATAATTTAATATGAAAAAAATGTGAGAAAATAAGATTTTTATTTTTTTAGTTCTACATGACATTTTAACGGTCAATGTCATAATACTGTTTGCTTTTACTGCAATAAAATACACATATTTGTATTCAGCAAAGTCTCACATGTAAAACAGTAACCCCTATGTACAGGTTTTGTGGCGTTTTGGGAAGTTACAGGATCAAATATAGCACGTTACATTTGAAATTGAAATTTGCCAGATTGGTTGTGTTGCCTTTAAGACTGTATAGTAGCCCAGGAATGAAATTTACACCCATAATGGCATACCATTTGCAATAGTAGACAACCCAAGGTATTGCAAATGGGGTATGTCCAGTCTTTTTTAGCAGCCATTTGGTCACAAACACTGGCCAAAGTTAGTGTTAGTATTTGTGTGTGAAAAACGCAAAAAACTCAAATTTTGGCCAGTGTTTGTGACATAGTGGCTACTAAAAAAGACTGGACATACCCCGTTAGATACCTAATTATGTAAATTATGTAAAAATATTACATAAATATTTTTTATATAATATATATATATATATATATATATATATATATATATATATATATATATATATATGTATATATATATATATATATATGTATATATATATATATATTAAAAAAAAATTTTTTTAATTTATATATAGGTATATATATATTTATAGTGATATATACGTATATATTTATGTATATAGATATATATTTTGTTCTACGTGTATTTTGAAATAAATATATATATATTTTATCACAATACAGTTAGAACGAAATAACATACATCTATATATTTTTTAATTTATTTTTTATCAGTCTATGTGTAATTTGATATTAATATATATATTAAAATACACCTAGACAGTGTATGTATGTGTGTGTGTATGTATGTATGTGTGTATATATATATATATATATATATATATATATATATATATATATATATATATGATCTAAGTATGTATATATTTTTTTTTTTACACTTATTTAACTTTATTTTATTTGAATTCAGCCAGCAGAGGGACTACCTGTCATCATTACTGGCAATGCAGCAGGCAGCTAACCCGGCCATGTGATTGTGAGGTCCTCGCAAGGACCTCACTCTCACATGGCCGGGGGGGGGGGATGCAGGAGGTCGGACGTGCCACGTGGGGATCCCTCGGAGTCCCCCCAACCGCGATCGCCAGCGTGGAATTGCTGGTGACCGGGTAATTAACAAAAAACAAAACGGAGGGCGTACTATTACGCCTGGCGGCGTTTAGAGCCGCCTAAAATAGGACGTAATAGTACGCCCTCCGATGTTAAGGGGTTAAAGGGTCACTCTAGAGTGGTGTTTATGTTGCCTAGAGTACCCTACTGCTCTCCCTTGAGTTAGAATTAAGCAGCATATGAATGGTTATATATGAATTGTGGCTTTTCTTGGTGCCCAAAGACTGCACCACCATAGCCACATTAATAATTAACAACTGCATTATCATGAGTTTTACCAACCTGAACGACCTTGCCTGTGAGCGCTGGGCTAACACCCTCCAGCACGCTCAGACAATCAACATTACTTGGCCATGACTGACCGAAGTGTTATGTATTACCAGTGGCATTCTTAAACATTCTGATATTAAAGCAGGGAATGGCACCAGAGCACTGTAGGCAACATATCATAGCAAAGGACAAATACAAAAAAAAGATAACCGTGCCTTAAAACACAGTAATGTACAAAAATGAAGTCAAATATAAGTCATATGTACATACTTTTTTGTTAAATGTCTGTGAAGTCTTTGGCTGTTATACAGTGCATAGTATCTCAAAGGAAAAGGAAAGACCATAATAGTGCAGTATGACTTTTTAACACAGTGAAGTAGCTATAGCAAAAACTGAATCACAATTTATAGAGCTACAAAGAGCTCTGCTGTGTAGGGCGTAGACAGTACAATCCCCGTCACTGGATATATTTTCAGCTACAGTGGTGGTAGATTTTATCTGTGTCTGGAATATCCAGTAGTGCAATATGTATATCAAAGTGGTAGTGCATATATGAAGAGGTAGGTATCTTACTCACATGAACTAGAGCATAGACCTGCTTTAGTATAAAGCGCTTTTGTGGTATGATCCCCACCTAGGATATATGTTGATTAGGAAGCCAAAAAAATAATTTAAAAAAAAATAATTTTTAAATGGATAAAATTTATATTTAAAAGGATTAATTTTATTATGATAAACAAGATATGTGTGTGTGTGTGTATATATATATATATATATATATGTGTGTGTATATATATATATATATATCTCATATAAAAAGCAAACCAAATGGAAGACAGAACCACTCTTTACGTGTTTCACCCTGGAGGTTTCATCAAAAGTGTCATCAGTGGTGGTTCTGTTGTGGTTTAGTGTAGGGTTCTGTAATGCTCTCACAGTGCTCTGTGTTGTTTTCTAGGTATCGTATTGTCTTTGCAATGGATGTTAAATTGTCCTGGATGATGTTCTTTTCATTTATTTTGGAGCAGTAAATAGTAGTGAAAATTAGTGGGGTTTTTTTTTTTATATATATATATATACAGTGGGACCTCAGTTTACAAACGCCTCGGTTAACATAATTTTCGGATTACAAATGAAAATCCATTGAAAATAATGCCTCGGTTTACATATTTTTTTCGCAATACAAAGCAAGTTTCCCCAGGATGCATTGCACCTGGGAGGCTTATAGCACTGCCCCATGCGTGCTGGAGCCTGTGGGTAGCATGTAACGTCGAGTGTGGAGGTGTTGGAGATGTAAGAGCGGCTTTTGCATTGAGTTTTGCAGCCATTCTCGAAATTGTTTGCAGTTGTTTTGGGACTTTTTGGTGCAATTCTCAAGCTGTGGAAAGGTAGGGAGCTGAGCTTCTTAATTTGCACGCCTTTTATTGTGTGTTTTGCATTGTGGATTGGTTTCCATGCCAGCTCATTTTGAATTTTTTTCTGACCTCCAGAACGGATTAATTGGTTTTCAATGGATTCCTACGGGAAACCACATTTTGGTTTACAAATTTTTTGCAATAAGAAACGTCCCGGAGAACGCATTAAATTCATAAACCGAGGTCCCACTGTATATTTATAACTGTGGTGAGTGACATTAGTAGCAGCTTCTTTAAGTCCTGCAAGTTGCGATGTGGGGCATTCATGGATTGGATTTGTTGTTTCAGCACATCCCACAGATTTTATATCAAACTGAGACCTTGGAAATTTGGAGGCGAAGGCTCCTTGTGTAACAACCAATAATACTGAAATATACAGAGAACCCAACCCTTTAAATAAGAAGCAGTAACATGAACCAGTGACAGGGAGCCGAAACAACAAGCAGTTGCATACATACCAGATTACCCCAACTACTTGCAACAAAATAAACAAAGGAAGGAAGAAAAAATGGCATAATTAGCATAATCTACAATTTTATAACATGACAGGAGGCTTCGTATTTTTAACGCTTAGGCAACAA